CCTCGGGGGCTGCGGCGCCGCCACCGCGGGATTCCGGAGCGGCCCCGGGAAAAGCAGCGGCCCCGGCAGAGCCGGACTCACCCCGTCGCGCCCAGGGCTGCAGCTGAGCGCGTACAGCGACATGGGCTTCCAGGCGGCGCAGACCTCAGAGATGGGGCGGCGGGAGGAGCCCGTATTCCCTGGCGTGAGGAGGAGGCATCGGTGCAGGGATAAAAACATTTTCACTTTCGCTACTCGTCCTGTTCCCTTAAATAATAAGGAAATGCCGCACGTTTCTTGTAAAGGCAAAGCAAGGCGATGCTGAACGTGCAGGCGCCTCAAAGCCGAGTCTCTGCCCGGCAGCGTTTCAACACAACTGTTTCTTGTCCTTCCAAACCTTTTTCTTCCTTCCAAGTAATGTTTACTTTACCTTTCCGAACACTTTTCCAGCACTTAATTGAACCATATCTTCTCCCTCTGCTCTAAAGGAAGGGAATGCCTGTTTGCACTGATAGATACATGACACCAATCTTGCTGCACTGTAGATATATTTGTGTATGGTGCCTAATGTGCACTCCTGGTTGTGCTCGACTCATGGCAAAGCACATCCATGTGAGGTAAAGTGCCCCCAAACTGCAGTGCAGCCAGTTGCAATGCCCCAGGTATCTTAAATTACTAACTTGGACACTTCCCTATTTTTCTGGTTTCCCCAGAAGTTTGAGTCATACCCAACTCACACAGACTTAGTTGAACATCAGGTTGCAAAGTTTGCGAACTGAGTAAATATAGACTATCCTTTCAGGAAGATCTGGCTAACAGTTCGTGCTGAGCATGAGAGAACCACGCTGCCTGGGAGTCGAACCGAAGCCTCTGCTCTACCGCAGGTTTCCTGGTGACTCGGGGACCATCCGCTTGCTCAGTATTACTGAAAGACCTGAACGGGGCTTCCCCCCGGGAAGCCCTTCTCCCCAGCTGCTCCACCTCAAAGCAGCTTCTCTCTCCATTTTCCAGGCCACCAAAGCTCCATTTTGCCCATCTCAAAGCTTGTTGCCCTCAAGGACTGAGCACCCGTGAGCCTTCCCCACCCTCACGGACCCTGGAGCCACAAACCACAAGGGCTCCTTTGGCTTTCTTGCCAAAGTGCCACAACCGCAGACTGTGCTGGGTCATTCAAGCACCCTGGGTTCCTTTAAAAGCAGTTGGGGCTGCTGCTCCCTCTGCGCTTCATCCACCGCACAGGCATGGGGGCACACCAAGGAGGCAGAGGGTGCAGGTTCCAGGGCCACTGTCCTGCTGAGGGCAACGGCACCAACCTCTCCTGCCCTTAGCCATAGCCAGAGGGCAGGACACTATTACAGGGAGGGTTGCGCTCAGTCTTTGGAAATGGTCCAGTTTTGCCTTAAACCACTCATCATGGAATTAAAGGAGTAAATACAGGCACAAGTGCAGAAGTAGTTGGGACGGCTGCTTAAGAAGAGAGCACTGCATTCCTTGTCTTTGCAGCTTAAGCACATTTTAAGCAAAGCGTAGGATTAGAAATCAGTATTTGCATGAGCTCAGAGAACAGGTATATTCTCTCTTGCAAAAACCATCGGCAACCAAATGAGAGTGATTTGGAGGAAAAAAAAAAAGGTCCCTTCGCGCAGAGGGACTGTGAGTGTCCTCCGCCTGGAGCTTTCGTGCTTCTCCGGCAGCAATACTGCTACTAACGGCACCTGCACAGCAGTCGATCTGACTGAACCAAGTGCTGACCAGTTTACCAAGGACTTGTTAGTGCTGTATAACCACCCTGCCAAGTGACTCCTGGCAAAGCCAGCGCCTTCCGAATACTTCAGAGAAAGGTGGCTTCCAGGATCCCGCAAATATGGGACAAGTCACAGAAAAGTCCCTTTGAGCCCAAGTATGGTCCACTCTTGTTCAGTGCAGCAAAGGAAATGAAAACTCAAAATTTGCTTATGGGAACAAGTTTCTGCTTAGTGTTAAAGTTATCTCTGCTGCATCTGTAGAAATGCCTACACAGTAATTCCAAGTAACGCAGCAGTAACGGCGAAGCACATCTATAGAGGAGTCCAGAAAGCAGACTATTCAGCTGAGTTCGCATTTTATAGCGGCAGTTTTATTGGTGATTTTTGTCTGCAGTGACAACCTACACACATTCAGGGTTGCTCAACGCAGTTTAAGGCAACGTGACTCTTCCGAGGAGCAGCAGGTTCTCAACACCATGGGCCCAAGCTTCCACAGTGCCCTTGGTGCCCACAGAAAGATTTCCGGAACTAAGAAATTCAAAAGCCGTTTGCGAATGTTCCCAAGCACCCACCGCCATTGAGCTGTCTTACAAAAGTCTTACAAGGGCTATATTAAGAAAAACGACCAGACATTTCTTGATGCAATACCAAATCGCCCAAGTTAAAAATAAGAAGCTTGAAGGTTGTGACATTTCAGTAGAAACCTGATTAGACACTTGTCTTGCACAACGTCGCAGATTTCTATGAAAAGTTAACTAAAGGACACAGCACTGTTGGAATGTGAAAATGTGAAATAAACATTTTGATAGCAGGGAAGATCTATCCCAGGCATTGCTTGTTGCAAGTACCTCTTGACGCAGACTTCTTCAACAGCTGAACACTCGCGTGCTGAGTTCAGTGCTGACCTGACCCTCATTTCAAGAGAGGGCCCCTGACACCTTCCACCCGCCTTGGCCAGAATCGGCCCCCGAGTTCCGTAAATTCACAGTTTAAATGGCGCACTTGAGATTTTTTATTGATTTTTCTTTATCCTTCTTTACAGCCAGTGTTTCCAGATGTTTTCTTTTTCCATCCAGCTGTGATTGAAATGAGGAGTGCAGAACAAGGCACGATGGCCCTGGCTCAGGCTACCAGGTATCCATTTTCACCTCTTTCAAATCCCACACAGCCCGACTGTCCTGCAGCCTCCTAGGCAAGTGTTAACGTGAGCTGTAGGATGAATTTGTTAATTCACCTCCAGGTCTTAATCCACAGTGCTCTCCCTCTTTGTTTCTTAAAACATTTGTCTTCTGTTGACCTTTTTAGGTCAACACCCCTATTCCTCATGAATCCTAGACATTTTCTTTCCCTGTCCATCCAGAAGGATTCCCTGACCTTCTCTATCAACATGGAAAATGCTCGAACCCCATGACAGTAGACACATGAATCTCACCGTACTCAGCCTGGTCTGGAAACGCTCAGAATAAAGAGCGTGCATCTGGATGGAGGAAGTGATGGTGACGATCTTCAGCCCTGGCAGGAGCGTACGAACTCCAAGAAGCGGCGACAGCAACTCGCTGTGTGAGAAGCAGTGCTGGCCCCACGTCCCCAGCTCTGCAGTTCCAGTCCCTCACACATCCTGTCCTCTCATATTAGAAGCTTTGTAGCCCTGAGATTAACAACAGTTGTGAGTTCAAAGGCACTGAAAGGAACTACTTCAGTTACTCAGGCCAGAATTTAACACAGATGTCCTCTGAAGTATGACTACACTAATGCCAGGATTAGAAGGGACAACATGATCTGAAACTTTGATCTTTCTTAATTGATTTAATTTGCTTTGTATAAAAACAGAAGTTCATATATACAAAAGCGATCTGAAACAAGTATTTACATGTGATTACCTATACAAAAATCTCAGTACAGATGCTGATGTTCATCTTTTCAAATCTAACGATGCTAAAATTCGTCACACATTTGAATTTTCAGATTCTTAAATACTAAGTTGGACCACCTTGTTACTACATTAATAAAAACCTTTCAAAAAAACTCAAGTTACTGCGTGAGAAAACACACATTAGACATGAGTATATACTGCAAGCATAATGCCTAGGTACAAATGTGTGAAAAAAGAGTGTAGCATAGCTCAACTTAACCCCATTTACTGTCACTCTACACTGATTTTAAAAGTTTAGTCAAATATCACAGATGCATACATGACCAAAGTCAAGATCCTGTAATGTGTAGAAATATTGTCCAGGAAACCCCCAGACTGCCTATTGGGATTACATGAAATGAAAATATCAGAGAAGATGCATATGGTCCATATACATTTAAACGCAGAATTTTTTTAAACAAACGTCACTATAAATAAGTCTAGTTGACCTAAATTCAAGAAAAGTCTAATAGCAGGGACCGATTTTATACTTACATGCGGATTTTCTAAACTGTAACACCACACTAAAATGGTGGTTTTCATATATTCTATTATGAAATTCTTTTTTTCTTCATTTACTATGGAAAAACAGTCACCCAAATGAGTGCAGATGAAGGTGTATTTGGAGAAGGAGATACTCCTTTAGGCACATGCTTCAGGTAAGCAAGCAGTGGGCTACAGAAAGACTGCCCACACTCACAAAGCATGTGCACAGCTCTGAAACATCAGGACCCACAGTGAACCCTGTGATAAAAGTGCAAGATATGAGAGTTAATCACTTCAAACACTTGCTGGATAAGTGCTATTGATGTGCTCAGGCTTTCATAGACTAGCAGCGTCACATTAACAAGAGAAACATTTTTAAAAAAAGGTCACAGACAGAAAGTTCTTAGGAATAGCACTGAATTAGAGGAGAAAAAAATTCACACGCTGAACAAGAGCACAACTGAGTTTCAAAACTCAAAATGCTATATGACAAATTCAGGTGCTGAGAGCAATTTTCCTGCGGCGCAGCGGATAGCGTCTTGCTTGGGTTGGATGTGCAGTTCTCTTTCTTCTCAAGAAATGGAAAGTGTCTTTGTTGGTGTCAGTATTCGTTGGTGTGACTTCTGCTGGTGGGAGGGCGTTTTCGGCCTTATCTTCCCCCTTCACCTTACAGGCAGCAGAGACATTTTGCCGCAGCCTGCAGAGCTCCAAGGTTGGTTGCCAAGTTAATACTTGGGAAAAACCTTCTGCTCTTTCTATGAGTGCTGGGAAAGACTGCAAAAACAAATGCAAGGACCTCACATTACATGGGAAAAGCCAGGGTTGCAGCAAACACAATGTGCTGATTAGGAGCCAACAGGCACAGAAGCACCAGCACCTGCAGAGCTGCACCTTACGGTGACAGGAGGGGGCTGAGAAGACCATAAAAATATTTTCTATAGGCAGAGGACAATCTTCCTTGCTCCTGGTTGATGAAGGAATGCTTCATAATTTGGGAGTGCAGAAGATGTATCTAAAGGAGTACATGCTTCAAGAGTACACAGGCTTTTTTTGTACAAAATTATTAACTACGATTGGCTAGAAATCGTTTCCGATGACATTTTATCACATCAAGGGAAAAAAGAGCATATCCTCTGGAGTACAGAGATCTCACCTTCATTATGTCACTGATCTGTTTGGATGCTGTTTCTGTCAGCTGCTTCAGCTCTGCCATGTAGGCATCTAGCAACAAACAAACAAAATGAATTTCTGAAATACAACCCCTTGCCCCTCGCTTGCTATTCACGTCACAGGGAAGTTGCAGAGTCCCAGTATAACCTGCAGCACACCCCTTTCACTTGCAAAACCATCTATATTGCAAATTACTTGTAGCATTATAGCTTTGGAGTTGACAGCTGATGTGTTTTATCTTGCTATTATTATTTTTAACCACTAAATATGCAACAGTGCTTAGAAGTCTCTGCTACAGCAAGCCACAAAGTTCTTTACTTAGAAATCCTACAGGTTAGACAAAACACAAGAAGCAAAAATAGTATTTGAAATTTGAAAAACCAAACAAGCTCACACGTTCTCTCCCATTTTTCCCTGTAGAGTTCTCTGCAAAGCTATGACATCAACGTGAACTTTCCATGAAGTGTGCTGCTGGGAACTAACTAGTCTCCATCTCCCACTTACTATTCTCACTTTTTTTTTAAAAAAAAAAACTATGCTATGTATTTTACTATGCTATTCTTACTATTTTTAGTAGCAACCTCATTGATGCTACAGAAGATGATTTAAGTCAATCACCGTATTCTAGTGCAAGGTGCTGGTGACCTCCTGCTGAAATATAAGCAAGTGGCAAGAGACAAAATTCAGATGCCTGCCCATATGCACGATGTACTAATTAGACATGTTTTAGGAAGCTGTAATCAATGTATGGAAGTGGAGGCTAACACACACCACCATTCAGCATTTGGAAGGAAAAATAATGAAGCAGCAGCCTCTTTAAATACACAACACAGGATAATGAATGGGCAGAAAGGGCATTAAGGGCAGAAAATTATGCCCTTAATGAAGACATTTTACAATAGGATATGGAGATTAGAACACTAGTGATCCTATGAAGTTCCAGTGAAGGAATAAAAAACAAACAAACAAACACAAAAAAACCCCAAATAATTACTTAAATTATTCTAGATATCCAGAAAGACTGATAAGCAGTTAAAAGAAATTTGCCTGCAGGAGTTGAGCTTTACATGGACAATATTATATTCCTCAGTGTTCAAGGCTTTCCAAAACATAGGGAAATGAAAAAAGGAAACGAAAGGTATTGAGTAATCTAAACATTTTTGGTTTCTGGCCACTGTACTTGCTAAACTGGGATACATAAACTTCCCAAAGACTACACAGATACTAAAATTCAACACAAACGATGTTGTCTGGGTTAGGACTTCACTGTTACCCATCCTGAAAAGGCAGCATCTTAGCGCAAGCTGTCGAGGAGCAGCACATTCACATGACAGAGCATGGATCTGGATACCAGAAGCTAACGGAAACCGAACATGAAGTGAAGCTTCACTGCTCCTGGTGGTGCTCCGCTGCACAGGCTGGCGCTTCTGGAAGCAACATCTCCTACTGCTTGCAAAGAGGAAACGGGGCCAGAGTAAACCCAGATCAGCAGGCTCAGGCCTGGAAGCTTAAGCTTTGCTCCTCAAACCCCACTTAGCAGCGCTGTTAGAGCAGCTTTACGCTGCATGCAGCAATCCACAGTGAGGTTCCCTAACCTTGTTTTTCAACTTTGCACAATGTTGTGCCTAACAGCGCACAGCATCAAGAAAGTTGGATAAAATTTAATAAATTGATGTGGCAGCGTATTCAGCTATGAAAAACTTCTGGCTGTTTTGCTGAACTATTTGAAGAAAGCAAACTTCTTAAACATGAACAGGCAGCAAGGTACATAGTATTCTCTCAACACAGCTGCCCTCCCTTGAGAAATCTTTACCTTGAGAAGGTGGTGATCTTATCTCCTCTGGTGTTACAACAGGCTGGTAGAGCTTCTGCATATTAAAAAAAAATAAAAAAAAAGAAAGAAAATCTGAAATACCCACTTGCTGTAATATATATCTAATACATACATAGCAGTTAGGAGATGGTGTTGTATAGACAAAGAGAACATCATATGCGTATTTTATGACAGTTACTGCAAACAGTGTTCTGGTTAACACAGTTAATATGCTCACTGTGCACAAGTCTCCAAAACTTACTTTAGTTTGTAAAATTCTAATTATTAACATGTGAGGATTTCTAGGCTAAAATCCAGACATTTTGGATGAAGTATTGCCATCTGCTGCACAACTGAGGAAAGAAAACTGCTGTGACTTCTAAGGAACCATTCACAAAACTGGTACATTTTCACAGAGCAGCAAACTTGAATAAAAGCTACATTTATACAAAAAGCTAAGAAAAAGAAAACTACTTTAAATTACTACATTACTTCTCTGCAAGTATTTATGCCTGAATAAGATCATTCTCCTTTACAAGCCAGGCTCTCTGTCTCTTTGGCCCTACTGTGCATCTTGTGACTTGATATCAGTTAATTGTGACAAAGTCATAATGTTTAGTTTAATCAAAGTGGAATTATAAGTAAGAGACTGCTGAGGAAAGAGGAAACAAAGCAAAACAAAGGAATGTAAGTTGTATCATCTTTAAGTTAAATATTTTTATCCTCTTAAGAACTATCCTTCATTCTTCTTGAGCCAAAAAAAAAGGAAGAAAATTATTTATTCTTCCTTATAGTTCTATTCAGCAAAACTTTCACCGTTGACATGTTATTAGCAAGTCTACAGTAACAGCTCCAGACAGAAGAAAGCTTGCATTAGCTCAAACGCTGCAGAACTATCGACTGAAAACTTCCAGGACGAGCCTTGCTTTGGCAGGTAGATCATCACACTAAAGGAATGGTTCTCTAGTTAAACCTCTGTTACGTGCAGCATCTTCAGTTACCTTGTGTGTCAGAAAATACTCATCTTCATAATAGTTAGGGTGTAAAAAGTACATGAGAACACCTCACTCGACAAGGAAACCACTAGAAGCTACACATAAATAGCTGAGGAAAAAAGCCACTTCACTTACAGAGATACACTAGAAACTTCCCATATGTTGCAGACACGTAACTAAAATAATCATCCAGTTGCGTTGCTATAAACTCTGAAAGGATCAGCCAGCGCAGAAGGGCAGGCTGACAGGCATGCCAAATACTACTGGAAGGGCGTTTTCACTTTGCAAAAAGATTAAAAGGTCATATTAAATCTTTGAGCTATACAATAGCAAACTGACTATCGCTGAGGCTACAGACTCCAGCAGCTTCCTGAGAAATTTGTTCCAGTGTTAGACTAACTAATCAGATTAATATTTTTTCCTTATGTTTAAATGGCATTTCCTGTCTTTCCATTTGTGCCCTCTTGCCCTGTCACTGGGCACCACTGAGAAGACTCTGGCTGTCTTCTTTACTCATGCTTCAAAAAGTCTTCATGTTCATAGGTAAGATCCCCAGAGCCTTCTCTTAATGCTGAGCAGTTCCAGCTCATCACACATCAGATGCCACCTCTGTGGCCTTTCACTAAGTTTGTTCCAGTATGTCCATGTCCCTTGCACTGTGGAGCCCAGCCCTGGACCCAGCACTCCAGGTGGGGCCTCACCAAGGCTGAGTAGGAAGAGAATCACCTCCCCTGACCTGCTGGCAACATTCTGCTCGATGCAACCCAGGGTACCGTGGGTCTTTGCTGCAAGGGAGCACTGCTGGCCCAGGCTCGACCTTCTCTGCAAAGCTGCTCTCCAGCT